GCGCCGGCCCGGGGACGGGCCCCTCTCCGGGCCCCCTCCCCTCAGCACCTGCGTCCTGGCCCAGGGCACGACCACCGGCCAGGCTCCTACCCCCTGGGGCCTGGGAGGGCAGCACACAGGGCAAGCTGGACACAGGAGGCCTCAGAGCATGAGACCAGAGAGGGCTGGGACCAGCCCAGGGTCAGAGAGCAAGTGCCTGGGGCAGAAGGGAGGGCAATTCGCTCACAAAACACCTCTGGGGCCAAATAGTGGCAGCAGGAAGTGCCACCCTCTGTGAGGCTGACCCACGAGGGCAGGTTCCGTGTTTGCAGCCGGAGGCCTCTCTGAGCGCTCCGGGCTCGCACATGGCCATGATCCAGGGCAGGCTGGAGGCAGGGGTCACAGCGCCGGGACCCTGTTGGGGGTGCTTCTTCCCCCACCTCCAGCTCACGGGAGAGATAACTGAAAACAACGCAAGGCCAGCCCCGAGTGCAGTAGTTCAGCTACGCACGGGCTCCAGATCCCACGTGGCCCAATGCACTTCAAAGCCTGGCCCCAGTGGTTTGAGGGACACGCTGTGCACATGTGCATATGGACCCCAAGTCCTAATGGGATGGAGAAGCAGGGAAAGGGAGTGGGGTGTGGCACGCTCCAAGGGGGGTCCTCTCTTTCTGTGGCAATGAAAACCCAACAGCTGTGACCTAGAACACGCCTTAGTGAGAATGGCAAGCGCAGTAACGGCTGCCCGTGAAGCACCGGCACTGTGCAAGTGAAGGTCCCTGCACACTGCGGGCGCCGCACAGCGGGCAGGGTGCCCTCACCTTCGCAGGTGACCCCGTCCACGTCGCTCAGCTGGTAGCCTCGCCGGCAGTAGCACTGGTAGGAGCCGTACACGTTGGCGCACTCCTGGCTGCACGGGCTGCTGCTGCACTCGTTCACGTCTGGGAGAGATGGGACCCAGGTCACCGCACACCTTGGCCCTGCCACCACGGCAGCCTAGCACTGCAGCAGCTGACACGGCACCTCCTGCACCCCCCTCAATACCCGCAGGGAGGTGGAGGTTAGGGTGGCTGGGCACCCGCCTGGTCACGCCCCCGGGGAAGAGACCCGCAGCCCCGCAGGGCTGATGACTTGGGACTCTGTCCTGCCACCACTGCTCTAAGCCACACCATCTCCTGCCAGATGACCTAGCAGCCTCTGTTCTCAGAGCCAGTTAGTCCAGCCCCACTGAGCTGCCCGAGTCCGTGCCAGTTCTTAGCTGCGGATCTGGTCCTGCCCATGTCACCTCCCAGCAACGCCCTGGGCTGGTGATGCCCAGAGGACCCAGCCCAGGGGCCGCTCCTCAAGTTCCCGTGCTCTGAGTTCACCGGGCCCCTCGGCAGCTGTGGGCTGTGGCTCACCCATGCCCTTCGCCTAGAGCGGAGGTCGGAGGGCAAACCAAGGCCCAGGGGCTAACCCTGCCACCACCTATTTGTGAATAAAACGTTACTGTAGCAGCCACGCTCGTTCCTCAGCCGCGGTCTCTGTGCCTGTGCGCTCCGTGGCAGGGTGGGGTTAGAGACTGTGGCTGCCTGAGATGTTGACTACGGGCTTTCAGAGGAAGCGCCAGCCGATCCCCGGCGTGGAGGCCCGTCTCACACCAATTTGCTTCAGGACAGGAGGGGACGTCCGCGGGCCTGGGCCCCTGGCTTCGCCTCTGGCCCCCACGTGCTGGTCTGGCTCAGCTGACCTCCGTGCCCATGTTTCCCAGCATGTCCACCATCCTATATCCTGGAGACGCCATCCCCTGGGGCCAAGTCCTTGCTCATGCCGGGGCTGAGCCACATGCAGGGCTGGGGGGGCCCAGTGTCGCGTCCTCAGCACCATCCACCAGTGTCCACGGGAGGCTTCCTTCTTCTCACATAGTGTGCAGGGCATGCAGCCAGGATGGCAGTGACCCCGGCAGTGGCCTCCACCAGGCGGGCGTCACCCCGCACCAGGCCCTGTGCCCACCCTCACCTTCACACGACACAGTGTGCATGTGTCTCCCCCTCACCTCGTGACTGCGTGAGGTGGTCCTGCCACCTCCACTTTAGGCGAGGACCTCGGGGCCTAGAAATGCTGAGCAAGGCCACAGGAGTGGCAGAACTGGACGGAGCCAGTCCTGAGAGACCCCATCTCGGGAGTCTTGCTCTCTGCCAACACACACCCGCATGTTGGCTCTCGCTTTTGGGGACAAACCCCAGAATGCCCACGGAAACATAGGGTCCAGGACCCCATCTGCACTCAGTGGGGGTTACGTGGGCTGGAGCAGCCGGGCCTTGTGAAAGCCGGGACCCCATGCTCCTCTCTACACAGGGTGTGGGACGTGGGGCTGCGAGCGCCATCAAAGTTCTCGAGCTCTGGGGCTTCAGAACCTGCCCCTGCCTAGGGGGTCACTCCACGGCTGTGCCCCCAGAACCTGGAGATGGCACGGAGCACTGTCCTACCACGACACGAGCTCAGAGTTGCCAAGAGTTTCTCCCGTGTCCAGCCAAACCTGGCTGCAGCCGCGCCCTCCCCTCTTCTTAGAAGCATTTGCTTCAGAAAAACTTGTGAATGCAAACTGTGTCTCTGCCCCTTTGAGACGTAGGTTCGATGACCCAGGAGGGTCTTTCCCCAGAGAGTGGCAGCCTCTCCTTGGGGGCAGGAGCTGGGTCTCCACGAGGGGCACTTGGCGTGGCAGTGAGCACACCCCGGCGGTCCTAAGCACTGGCATTGGCCTTGGCCGTGCATGACGTTAAAGAAGCCCCGGCCCTGGGCAACCTGAGCTCAGTTTCCCTCCGCCTCATCCCCTGCACGGTAGTCTCAATAACTCTCGCCCATGTGGCATTTAATTCATGCTGGGAGACAGCTACGAATCAGCCCTAACAGGTCTGCGGGGAGGGTGGCTTCCCGGGAGAAGGTGGCTGGGCAGGGGGACTGTGTGAGGTCCCTACCCTCACCTTCACACGAGCGGCCATCGACAGAGAGCCGGAAGCCCACAGAGCAGCTGCAGTGGTAGGAGCCTGGCGTGTTCTCGCACTTGTGGCCGCACAGGCGCCCGGGGTAGCGCTGGCACTCGTTGATGTCTGGAACAGAGGGTGTGGGCAGCTCAGGGGCATGTCCACCTGCAGCGGGCACCAACAGCTCCCGACCTCCCTCCCCGCCTCCTCCCACCTGTCTCTCAGACAAAACGGGAGGGACTATTCCAAACATGAAGCAAATCAGTGGGAGCAGGACCACCCATGGGCCTGTGCCCTGGCCAAGCCTCGTGCTTTCTTCACAGTGGTACACGTGGCCAGTCCTTCCCGCCAGCCCTGCCCCACTGCCTATGAGGAGGGGCCTTAGAAGAGGGGCTGAGGAGTGGGGGCCAAGAGGGGGAGGCTACCAGCCAGCCTCTTCTGAGCACCCTGGTTTAGCGAGAGCAGGCTCGGGCCGGGCAGAGCTGCCCTGTAGCCCTGTGGGTCTACAGGGAGTCTCAGGAAATGTCGTGCACTTGGCATTTGTGCACCTGGGCCCGAGCCTCATGGAGACTTGGCTCTGGACAAGTAGGGTGCTCTCATCTGCCCCACGGAGTGGAGAGGCCAGCTCCACTGGGAGGGCCTTGCCTGTGGCCATCGGTTGGGCAGCTGCTGGGGTGAGACAGGACAGGGCAGGGGTCCCCCTACTCGGGGTCTCTTTGGGTCTGCCTGCACTTGGGGTTTTCCAGGGTCAGAGTCAGACCACACATCAGGTGCCACAGACTGTGCCCCTGGTGCCACCTGCGGGGTCCCCAAGGCCTGCAGGGACAGCCACGTACCCACGCACGTCCTGCTGATGCCATCGAAGTAGTAGCCAACCCTGCACTCGCAGCGGAAGCTGCCCGGGGTATTCACACAGCGGTGCCCTGCCCCACAGGGCTCTGAGGGCGGCGCACATTCGTCCACGTCTTGCAAAGGAGAGAGATAGAGACACCAAGAGACATTATTGTGGTTCTTCCCAAAAATGGCCAGAAAGGAAGGCAAAAGAAGGACTGAGCTAAAATGACAGCAGCGTCGCGTCATCCTTCCACACATCTCACTGGAGCGCCTGCTGCGTGCTGAACCCAGGCCAGGACACACTCAGCCCGACGCAGCCCCCACCCTCAGGGAGTCTAGCCACGACCCTCATTAAAGGCAAGAAGTGCCTGTTGATCTGGGGGAGGTTCTGGGAGCCATGAGCAGGACTTGCTCCTGGCAGAGACCTGGGCCGCCAGTGCAGTAAGTCCAAAGGAACGTGGGTGCAGGGGGGCAAAGGGCGTGTAAGCACAAATACCATGCCATGCTGGGTTGGGGGGTGACGAGGCTTATGTCATGTGGTTTTAGACGGTTTGTGAGGTTAGGGCCAAGTTGAGAGGACTGAATTACAAACAGGGGCATCTGTCCTTTGTCACCAGGAAGCCGTGAGTAGGAAGCAGGGGAGAAATCTGGGCTCAGGATGAACTGGACAGACAAGGAGGCTGGGCAATGGCTGGGCTGCTAGTCTACTGCAATGGTCCAGGTAGGGCAGTAAAGGTCATTGCCTTTGGCAACAGGATGGCTAGAAAGAGGAATGACTTCACTCTGGAGACCTTCAGAGGAGGGTGTGCGCTAGAAGCAGGCAGAAAGCCCTTCTTGGATGTGTTCTTTTAATACCAACCTACACAGCGAGTCCCCTCCTCGTTGAGGTGGTAGCCACGGCCACAGTTGGGCACATTCTTCTGGCACGTGTAGGAACCCTCCGTGTTGATGCACATTTGCCCGACAGGGCATGGGGCACTGATGCTTAAACACTCATTGATATCTGCGACGGGGAAAGAGACAGCGTGGTCAGATGTGGACGGCAGCTGGAAGACAACAGTAGGTCTCCAAAGAAAGCCTTCCCTCTTCTTTGCAAAACCACAAATGGAGACACCACAACCCCAAACCTTGTCCATGCAGCAGCCTCCCACCTGGCTGCCAATTCTGTTGACCACTGCCTCAAATGCTGCTCCCAGGCCCTCTTGCTGGCTACATCTCAGCATCACCATCACTCACAGTAAGCGTGGACCTGCCTGTCTAACTCTGCTGGACCCACTGACCCACCTAGGAGGCGATGGAGCTGCTTCCCCGAGCCCAGTGCTGGGCAGAGGGAGGTGCATGCCCCCTGCACCAGCGCTCCGGCCCCCGCTGGGCTCCAGGCCCCTCCTGTAGCTTGCCAGGCCCTGCCTACTCCCCCACCTCACCTGGTGGTGCCCTTCTATAACCCTAACGTCACAACTTGCCCTCCTGGCGGGGCCTTGCAGACCCCAGGCGCCTGCCTGCCTGGTAGCCGGGCCTCCGTGAGCATCACCTCCCAGAGACACCCAGTCCCCCCAGCCAGGCTCCCTGAGGTCTGCTCACTGCACAGTGGTCTCCTGCCTCGACTGGTCATGCCTCTGCTGTGGGCACGGGGGGTGCCCACCTCTGCAGAGCAGAGGATGAGTGGGCATGAGCCCGCCATGGACAGGGACGACTGACTACACACCGCTCGCTCTGTCTGCTAGAATTCAATATAAAAATGCACGGATTTGGGGAGGGGGGTAGCACAGTAACCCCACTCTGCAAGCTGACCCGAACAGGAAGGGCCCAGTGCCCTTGAGAGCCCATAATGGAGGCTGGCGAGGCTGGGGCGGGGGGTTTGCAGTGTGAGGACCCTGATGGGGAGGCCATCCCTGTCTCTGACTCACTCCAAGAAACTTAAAGGAAAATGCACTTCCTCCAGTAGTGCTCCAGAAGGACCTCCGTTTCTGAATATCACCTTGTTCAGGTGCTCACCCAGCACCTGGGGATGGGGGACAAGAGAGGGAAGTGAGGCTGGGAGACCCCTGAGCTCAGGTTGGCAGGGGTTGGTGTGCTGCTCTCCTGCCACTCGGCCTCACCCTCCTTAGACAGATGGGAATCAGCCCCTTGCCCAATTCCCCAGCACTTTACAGTTCACAGAGGCAGAGCTGGGATTAGTATCTGCTCTTCATAAACAGGAAACGGGGGCCCAGAGAGGAGCAATTCCCCAGGCTCACTGCTGGAGGAGGTTGTCGGCCACAGCTAGAGGCTAGAGTCAGGGTCCCCTGCCTCCCAGCCGGCAGGAGGCCCCTTGAACTGGGGTCAGCAAATGACAGCCTTTGGGCAAACCCAGCCCAATGCCTGCCAGCAAACAGCCAGGCCGCTCCAACAGAGACCAGATGGCCCGAAAAGCTGACAGCCACTATCCAACTATCCAGCCCTGCAGGGAGGAGGCTGGGCAGCCCCTGCCTGGAATCGAGAATAATCGCTGCATCAGCAGTCTCGAGGGAGCAGAGCCCAGAAGGGCCAGAAAGAAGGTTTGGACTCTCAAGGTTTGCTTGCTAATTTGTATTGAAAATGTACATAACATTTAAACTAGAAAGTCATGCTGTTCTAAAAGAATGAATTCTGAGCTTGGTGGTGAGGACTGAGCCCCAAGGAGACACTGAGCATGAAGACTGGGCTTTGATGCTGTCCCTGGGAACTCAGGGCAACTCAGGAAGAACCAACAGGCTACACCCCAGCTCTGCCCACTGCCAAGCTCGGATGAGACCTGGGGGTTAGAAGTCACTGTTGTACTTTAACTATGTGGGGTGGTCAAAAATGGGGGTGGAAAAACCTCCCATCCAAACTACCATTTCAAGTAAGTGACCACACAGGCTGATCCAAGGGAAGCAAAGAGAAGTAAGACAGGAATCAGCCAGACCTCGCTCAGACGGTGCTGGCCGTTTGGGAGGAGGGGTGATGCGGCCCCCATCAGGGTGGGGGTCTGGCTATGGCATCTGCAGCTCAGATCAGGAGAGTCTCTCTGCCCTCAAACTTGGCCTGGAAGCTTCTACAGAGCAGAGGGCGAGGGAAAGCTGCTCGGTCAGGATTCAGGCCTGACAGCTAACAGTTCCCGGCCAGGAGGCTGGTCTAGACATCCCCTCCAGGTGCCCAGGACCTGCCCCTGTCCTCCAGGGACAGGGCACTCGGGCCTGGGCCCCCTTGCAGCTCCCCATAGCTCCTCCAACTTGAGCAGTCTTACCCAGACCTCTAGTTTCTAGACCAGGGTCACATGGAATGTTATTTTTCCTCCTGTCACATTTGTCTTCCCCTGATATCCACACAGAGTTTTTTGTTTTAGGTTTTTGCCATAGAGAATGCGAGAAACTGAGAAAAATACAGAGAGGAGAGGTAAGAAATCACCTCTGGGGGGATGGCCACACTACAGTTCCTTCTCCCCCATTCTCCTCTCGGCACACGCACACGTGCCTGGCATGATTTTCAAGCTGCCTGGTCTGGGACTTGAACCACTATTGGTCAGGTGGGAGCCCAGAGCTTTAACCACCATGCCATCTACTGGTCCTTTTGTTTTTCAAGAGAGGGTCTCACCAGGTCGCATGCTCCTGCTTCAGCCTCCTGAGTGGCCGGGACTTGCTGGGATTCTAGGTGCACACCTCCCATAGTCTGGCCTATAGAGCCCACGGTCCTAGCACACGCTACATAGCTAGGCCAGTATAGTTTTTTTATTTTTATTTTTTATTTTAAACCATTCATTCATTTATTTTAATTTGACCAGAGAGAGATACAGAGAGAGAGAGAGAGGGAAAGTAAGAAAACAAGACACGAGGTCCAGGACTGGAACTGTGGTTGGTCACGTGGGAGTGTCCAGCACCTTAGCCACCAAGTCACCTGCCGGCCCTGCCAGTATCGTTTTAAAAGCCTGCCTGCTTGCTTGTTGGGTATTTATTTTTGTGTGTTTGTTTATTCCATGAGCAAGGAGAGTGAGATAGAGAAAGACAGCACCCCAGCTTGATGCCAAAGCCCACCCCTGCCCTCAGTCAGCCCCAGGTCATGGGCACACATGTGCCCAGAACACTCAGTGATGTCTCTGGACTTGAACAGGGAACCTTCCCACGTGGAACAGCCTTGCAGAGCGTTGGGTTTCACAGCTGTGTCACTGTGTGGCCCTGTGTGCCTTTTGTTGCGGTGAAACAAATGCGACATAAACTCTGCCATCTCACGTACACAGCTCAGGCATAGCTACACCCACACTGCTGTGCAGCACTCCTCGCTGCCCAACCCCAAACTAAAATTCCGCCCCAGTAGACATGCACGCCCACCCTCCTCCTCTAGCCCCTGGTAACCACCACTCTTTCTGTCTCTGCCTGCTGAGTAACTGTTTAATACAAACTTTTTTTTTTTTTTTAATGTACTGGGGACATGTGCTCTCACCAGAAAGAGACAGAGAGTCTCTTTCTCCAATCTCTTCCCCTCCATTTCTCCATCCTGTCAGGATTTGGGTACAAATGCACACATGCCCGACATGCTTTTCAAGCCACCAGGGCCAGAATTTGAACTCTGCAGCCAGCCATGTGGGATCCAGCTCCCTTAACCACCAGGTCACAGGCTGGCCCTTTTTAAAGACAACCTTTTAATAGACTTAACGGCTATTCCCTTCACTGAGGACTCACGCAGTCCAGGCCTGAGCTGCGTAATCCTGGCCTGAAGCTGTACGTGAGTTACTACGAGCGCTCCCATGTTAATAAAGGAAGGAGCCGAGACTCAGAGGAAGCACATTTTCTTAGGCCACTCAGTTTAAAACCAGGTTCTCACTCCAAAATTCACTCTTTCTTCTAAACTAGCAGAAGGCAAACCCCAGCCCTGAGGCCAAATCCAGCCTACTACCTGTGGGATAGATAGTTTTATTGGAACGTGGCCTCACACATTTGTTTGCAATGGCCCGTGGCAGCTTTCAAACTATAACAGCAGAGTTGAGACCGTACGGCCCATGATGCCTAAGATACTCGCTCTCTGAGCCTTTACAGAACAAGTCTCCAACCCTGTTTTACAGGCTTGGCGGCCCCTCGAGCTTGGGCTCGGCCCGTGGCCAGACCGTGTGCCCTGCCTGGAGCGCCCTGCTCGCCCTGGCGGAGAGGTCTTACCAATACAGTTGCCTAAAGCATCTTGTATAAAGCCATTCTTGCACTGTAGTTTGGGTCTGCAGCGGAAGGATCCCAGAGTATTCTGACAGATAAAATCGGGGAGGCAGTTATGAATACCACTCTCACACTCGTCAATATCTGGTACGTCATAAAAAAAGGAAATTGTTAGCAAAGTCCTGCCAGAAACATCTCACAACATGTTAAAATCACAAGAACGTTTTCTTAAATGCTCACTACTCAGACTATAACCCACAACATTGTGACAGAGGCATCGCGTGCAAAAGAGTCATACAGCCCGGATTGCTGAAGACTTAAGATGCTGACTTCTTCCCAAGGCTCTTAGGAGGCAAACTTCCTGCTGTGTTGATACAGTACATAAGCCAGGCGTTCTCCTGGCAGGTATAGACTGCATACACTCATTCAGGCTAAGCATGTTTGGTTTCGATCACAAAGCAGTATCTTAGGGGCAGGAAACACAGCCTCTATAAACTTATTCATCCTGAAGTCTTTGTGATATTCCAAAAATTAACAATGGTTACTGCCCTGACAGGACGTGATGGGCTGCCTGCCCACTTGAAGTTCACAGCTGTCAGAGGCTCCAGCGTGTACACTCAGCCAGTGTGGCCACTCGCCTCTCAGGGGCCAGCCGGTGCGCAAGGGCAGAGAGGCCTGGGCTCCCTCAAAGGCCCTTAGATGTCAGGAGGGTGTGCCCTGCTTTGGAGCCACCCTCATAATTCAATGACCAACATTTTTGCACAAGTGGTTTTGTCCTTCTGAAAGGCTCAAAACCCTCTGTAGAAAACTTCCTTCCACAAGCTCTTCATCAAGGCCTTGTCTGACAAACATCTATGGCTTAGAGGGAAAGGCCGACAGCCAGAAATGGCATGTTTTAGCTTTTAGGCAGCGGAAGAGGATACGCTTTGAACTTCAAGGAAGCCTAGACTCAGATGGAAGGCAGCTGTTATGTAAAAACTGCTGTTTTATTTATTTGTTTTGCTTTTTTGTTTTGGGGTGTGTGTGTGTGCGCACACGTGTGCGTGTGTGTGTGTGCAGAAAGCACATGTAAGCACCTAAAGGTCACCCTTGGTCGTGTTTCTAAATGATCATGCACTGAGCCTTTTCAGAAACCCAGATTTGTCATCACGGCAATCTGAGAAACACCCCCTCGCTGTACAGGTGCACTACGGTCGGCTTTCTAGACTGCTGGCCCTCCTGCTTTTCACCCCGCTTGTCCCAGGACACCCCAGGCACTGCTCAACCAGGTCTGACCCCTCCCTGCTGCAGAGAGGAGGCGGTAGCCCAGGCAGCCACATGGGGGGCAGACCGTGGTGCCCAGACCTGGGAGCCCAAGCCCTCCTCACCCACCACGCTGTGCCTACACCTGGAGGAGGCTCCCAGCCCGGCCCAGGCTGTACCTTTGCAGTCATTGTTGTCGGTAAGCTCGTAGCCAGTGCCGCAGCTGCTGTCCCGCTGACAGCGGAACGAGCCCACGGTATTGATGCACGACTCCCCGAGCCGGCAGCTGTGGCTGGCCGTGATGCACTCGTTGACATCTAGAGAGACAGGCAGTGCAGTGAGCCAGGAGCAGCGACTGACCTGCGCCACGCCGAAGCCATGGTGGAACTGATCCCTGTGTCCAGCCACCCAGCGCTGAAAGTCCCACAGGGCACACCAGGGCTGGGCCTGGAAGTAGAGTCACAGGGACCCAGAGCCAAATTGGAAACGAGGATTTCTCTCCCTGCTAGGCCCAGATCGCTTACTTGCCCAGTGCCAGGCCTGGGATATAGGACCCTCACAGACCACAGGTGGGGCGTCTTCCTCCCCACATCCCCGATTTCATAAATGCAGTAGGCTGAGAGCGTGCCCATGGCCACCAGCACAAGAGCCTGGATAGACCCCAAATCCAGTCCTTTCCCGACCCCTAGTTTCTATTCCCCTGGGTGAGAGCTGGGCCTGGTTGTTCTCTACCCATGGGGCCACAGGCTGTGCATGGCAAGCCCTGCTTGGACTTCAAGCTCAGGCTCCAGAGCACGGCCACCTGCCAGGCCTGCTGTTCCAGCCTTGGGGACATTTACCTTCACAGGAGACGCCATCTGGCAGCAGCTGGTATCCCACAAAGCACGAGCAGACTACCTCCTCCCCCGTGTCACGGCATTGCTGTTTGCAAGGCCCACCGCCTGGAATCAGAGCACCCAGAGACCCTGTGGTTTCCAGTTCCGACTGGGAAAACACCCTCAGGGGGACTGACAGGACGGCTGCTCCTTCATAGCACTGCGCCCCACGGGAGACCTCCAGAGTCTGGCTTGGGGCACCCTCAGGCCTGCTACATCAGGTCCCAGGCCTGGTCTGACAAACGGGTGGTGAGCAGGACAGTCTCTACAGAGACTGGGACTTTTTTTTTTTTTTTGGAGAGATTTTCACTGTAGGGCGCGTGCGCTCGCCAGACAGACAGAGAGAGACATAGAGACAGAAAGCGAGAAATCACCACCCAGGGGGGGATGGTCACGCCGCAATCCCCTCTCCTCCATTCTCCTCTCGGGATCTTAGGCACGCACGCACACGCGCCCGGAGG